CGAGCGGAGCGGAGCAGCCCCCGAGCATCCGCGGGCGCGGGGGGCGTCTGCCTGGAGCTCCCGGGGGCTCGAGAGGGCCCCGCCCCGTCCCGCCCCGCACGTGCCCATCTGGGGCTGGCCGCCAGCTGCGGTGCAGGAGCCTCGGCCCCCGGGGTGTGGCGAGGCGGGGAGGGTGGTCTCGACTCTCGACTCCGCGCTGGGCCTGGGTCCAGGTAGGGAGGGTCTGGGAGATAAGGCCCGCGAAGGAGAGGTCGGGGGAGTCCCTCGGCCCCTTCTCCTGCCCCCACGCCACCTCCTACACCCAGGCCACTCGGACCCCAGGCGCGGGCCCGAACGCCAGTCGATGCTTTTCTTGACCCTCGACTCTGAGCAGGGTGAGGAGGCCTTTCCCCCTCACGTGCCAATCCTGCCCCCATGCCCTAGGAGGGTCCAGGTGGGAGGGGCAAGTCCTCCGTCTCGATCCCCATCCTCGATGTCCCCTTCTAGGCTGCGCGGGGGGGAGGTTCGGGGGGAAGAGGAAGGGTCTTCCTTACGTGGGCAGCCCTTCCCCAGTAGCCCCAGGAGGGTCTGAGGAGGGGAGGAGTCCGCGATCTCTTCCATCACAACCAGCCGCCTTTGTAACCTCAGCAGCCGAGGTGTTGTGGGGAAGGGTCCCCCAGCCTCCGAACCTCCCATCCCAGAACACCCCTCCCCTCCTCGATGATCCAAGCAGCCTCGTCTTCAGGCGCAGGAGAGGGAGGCTCCAAGCGCTCAATGCTCTCCCAGGAGAGATGGGGGGCGGGAGTCCCCCAGCGCTCGCCCCTTATGCTCAAGAGCCCTTTCCACCACGAAACAAAAACTAACCCGATCTACTCCGACCTCAGGCGCCGGGCCACGGGAGGTCCGGAGTCAGCCGGCAGCTCTCCGGACAGATGGTCCTGAGAGCAGCGAGAGCACGTCCCGTCATCAACTCCCCAGGCCCCCTCGCGCCTCAGTCCAGCCCCTCCCCAGTAAAACAAAAGCGGATTCAGCAGCACCAACCTCTGACGGCGGGCAGGAGGGTGATCAGCTCCCGGCAGCGCGCCCAACTCCTCCCGGCTCCTCACCGCCCCGGCTCCCCGCCGCTGGTC